TTCCCTGTTGTTGAAGGGAAACAACAACATCTAGGCTACGTTTAGCTAAATAAATAAATAACAAGRTCTCTTTACTCCCCTGCCTCTTCCGTTTACCAATGCCCATTCCAAGGAGCTGAGCTGGGGTCCTCTCTGGTGGGACAAAGGGTGTTTGGACTCTGGAGTGTTGCAAACACAAGCTTGGAAAAGTGTCTGATTCCGTGGTTAAGACCTCAGCCGYGGGAGGCCCGTGGACCAAGTCCTGAACAGACCCGGTGACTCACTTGCACGTGGCCGAGTCACGTAACTTAACTTCTCTGGGCCTCAGTTTCTCCCGTAACTGATCATTCCTGTGTCTCCCTTGCAGCATGGTTAGGAGGACTCATTGAGCATGGTTACTCATGGCTGCATTACAAACCATGCCAAACTCAGTAGCTTTAAACGGCCYTCCTTTCATTTTAAAACATGATTTTTGTGGGTGAAGTATTCGAACGTGGCTGCCATGAGAAATCTTTCGACTCCCTGTGGCATCGACTGGCATCTGCTGCGGTCGTCAGCCGGCAGGTGGGCTGTKCTGGAGGCTTCAAGGCTGTTTCATGCTTTAATTAAATCTTTGCGGGGTTGACTGGGCCTCTTCCCCTCTCCAAGCCATCTCAAGACCCTTTATGTGAGCCTGCCASAGTGGCACGKACCTGTCATCCCAGCGGCTTGGGAGGCTGAGGCAGGAGGATGGTGAGTTCAAAGCCAGCCTCAGCAAAAGCCAGGCGCTAAGCAACTCAGTGAGACCCTGTCTCTAAATAAAATACAGAATAGGGCTGGGGCTGGGGCTCAGTGGTGGAGTGACCCTGAGTTCAATCCCCAGTACAAAACAAAAACAAAAAAAACCTTTATGTGGTTTCTCCTGCAGGGCAGGCAGGACATTTGTAAGACATTTATGTCTCCCTGAGATCATAGCAGAAGAATCTTCTTAAAGATTAGTCCAAGGCCAACATGGAGTCGTTCCTCTGACTTTGAGAGAAAAGCAGTCTCAGGCCAGCCAAGATCCACAGGGGAGTGGCCGGAAAGGGCCCCCTCCTTGGGCAGTATCTCCTCGGAACTGAATTGAACTAGGGGACACCCGGCTGGTGTCTGCTGCAGAACTGATTGCTTGTTTGCTGATGAGGAGAAATCCCCAGAGTTTTGGGGGTCACAGAAGTGATCTGTATGTGAGCAGAGAGTGGAAGAGATTGAGTTCTTCTCCTATATCCTTCACACCTGTGAGTGAGATCACGCAGCATTCGCCTTCCTACGCCCAAGTAATCACGAGGCCACAGATATCTCTTCCTCACATTTCCTTTACGTATATAGGTAGAAGTGGGATCACTGAGGGACTATTTTCAGTTTTTTGAGGACCTCCATAATGTTTTCCGTTAACAGTTGACTAATGTACATTTGAGCCACCATATATACAAGTTCTCTTTTCTACACACCCTTGCCAAAAACACTTGCAACCTCTCACTTTCTTGATGATAGCCTTTCCAGCAGGTGTGAGGGGATAGCTGCTTGTGGTTTTAATTTGCATTTCTCTGACCTGTTTCCAAATGCCTTATTGTCCATGTACATGTCTTCCGCTTTTACCACGTTTTTATTGGTACGCTGTAGTTGTGCACAATGATGGAATTTACATATTTAAGCGTGCACACAATATAATAAAATCATTTGGCCAATATCACTCCCCAGCACGTACTCCCCTCCTCCCTGCATCCCGCCCCTTGATCCCTTTCCTCTGCTTGATCTCCCTTTGATTTTCATGAGATTCCCCACCCACACCCTTTCTTTTCCTTTTACCTCTCCAGTTTTCACATATGAGAGGAAAAAAAAATGTATAATCTTGATCTTCTGGGTTTGATTCATTTAGTTTACTGCGATGGTCTCAAGTTCTATCCATTTTCCTGCAAATGCCATGATTTCATTTTTCTTTATGGCTGAATGTAACTCCCTTGTGTATATACACCACATTTTCTTTTTCCATTCATCCATTGATGGACACCTAGACTGGTTCCATGGTTTGGCTGTTGTGAATTGTGCTGCTATAAACACAGGCGGGCACGTGTCACTGTTGTATGCGGACTTTAATTCTTCAGGATAAATACCATGGAGTGGAATAGCTGGGTCGTATGGTGGTTCCATGCCTAGTCTTTTGTTGTTACCTCCATACTGATTCCCATAGTGGTTGTACTAATTTACACTCCCACCAACAGTGTAAAAGTGTTCTCTATTCTCAAGGCCCCCCTCTCTACATGTCTTCTTTTGTGAAATGTCTATGTAGACAGATATTGCCTATTTTCAATCAGGTTATTTATTCTCTTACTATTGATTTAAGTGCCTTCTATATTTTGGATATTAATCCTTTATTCACTCTATGGTCTGTTAATCTTTTCTCCCATTCATCTCTTCATTTTGTTGATTCTTTGTCTCTGCAGAAGCATTTTAGTTTAGTTTCATCCCATTTGACTTATTTTGGCTTTTTAAAAAACATGATACTTTGGGTAACATATTTTTWAAAAAAAATCACTGCCTAGACCAAAGTCATGGAGATTTTTCTCTATTTTTTTTCTTCTATTTTTGACCTTCAGGTCTTACATTTACTTGTATAATCCATCATGAGATCAATTTTATAAACAGGTTGAGATAAAGGACCTGATGTGGATACCCAGCTGTACCGACATTCTTAATTAAAGAGACCATTCTTTCCCCATCATGTGTTGGGGGCATCTTTGTCTAAAAATATGTGACTGTCAATGTGTGGACTTATTTCTAGTTTTTCTACTCTGTTCCGTTGGTGTCCATCTACGAAGTCCATATCATGCTGGTTTGACTGCTGCAGCTTTGCAGTGTAAGTTGAAGTCCAGGTGATGTGAGATCTCTAGCTTTGTTCCATCTGTTCAGGTTGCTTTGGTTGTTTAGGGGTTTCTGTGGTTATAATTCCATACAAATTTTAGAATTTCTATAAAAACTGTCACTGAAATTTTGATAAGGATTGTGTTGAATCTGTAGGTCTCTTGAGGTGCTATAAATATTTTTTGAAATATCAATTCTTCCCATCCATGAACATGGGATATCTTTCTATTTATTTGTGTCTTTCTCAATTTCTTTCATCATGTGCACCTTGTTTCATGGTGTAGAAGTCTTTTTCCTGTCTGGTTCAATTAATTTCTATGTTTTTTTTTTGTTACGGTGAATGGGTATTTTTTTTTGGGGGGGGGGTTCTTTTTTAGATAGTTTGTTGTTAATGTATAAAATGCTACTGAATTTTGTAGGTTGACTTTATATTCTGCAACCTTCCTGAATTTATTGATAAGCTCTGACTTTTTTTTTTTTGGTGGAATCTTTAAGGTTTTGTACATATAAGACATATCATCTACAAACAGAGATAATTTTATGTCCTCATTTCTGATTTGGATGCCTTGTATTTATTTGATCTCTTGCCTAATTCCTTTGGCTAGAGCTTCCAATACCATGTGAAGTAGAAGTGGTGAGAGTAGGAATCCTTGTCTATTCCTAAGCTTAAAGGAAAAGCTTTAATGCATTTTTTTTCCATTTCATTTAGTTGTCTGTGTTTTCCTGCATCTCACTGAGCTTCTTGAAGATGATTACTTGGAATTGTCTCTCAAGTAATTAAAATATATTAAATTCTTGGTGGTGAGTTGAAGGAGCTCCATGATTTTTCTTTGGTGTTCCTGATTCTTAGTCATGTAGCCTGGCATTAGTGTCTGTGCATAAGAAGGAACAAATACTTCCTCCAATTCTTACAAACTGATTTGGGCTGCTTGGGGTTTTCTACTACATATCTGGGGGTGAGGAGATTGTCTCTCTTGGGTCATAGTCAAATGCTTTTGGAGTCAAATCGCACGGTTGCTGCTCTTCCCGCAGTGGGGTCCACAGTTGGTGAGTTAGGGGACAGGCATGGATCCTGTCTGGTACCTAGGTGTGGAATCAACTCTCTCAAGGACATAGGTAAAGCAGCTAGTGCTGGATCCAGGGTCAGTTTCAGAATGCATAGCCAGTAGTTCTGCGGCCTGGCTTGTGGATAAGTGTGAGTTCTTCTAGGTCTCTGCAAAGGCTCTGGATGGATTTCTGAGTGGGTCCTTGGGCAGGCAGTACTGACTCAATCTGAGATTGATAGGGACTGGAACCAAGTTGCAGCACCGCTTCAGGGTCTACAACAGAGTCCAGAGTCTTTGGACTGATCCCTGGTGCCACAGGTAGGAGTGTCTTCTAATAGGCCACGGGCCAGGAAACCTGCTCTCAATCTGCCTCTGAGAGAAAGTGGAGCTGAGACACGGGGCTCTTTCAGGATCTGCTGCAGGACCCAGGTTTGTCAAGTCTGCCCCAAGGGCTTAGATGAGTAAGTCTCTCAGCTTGTTCCTGGCTGGAAAGAACTGCTTTCAGTCCATAGCTTTGGGGTTGAGGCTTGGGGCCCTTTCAGAATCGGCTGTACAACAGAGATGGATAAATGTGTCCCCGAGGCATAGACAGGCAAGTATCCCAGCAGTTTCCTGAGCAGAGAAGATGGATTGGGGAACGGAAAGAGGCTGAAGACAAGATTCAGCCTTTTCGGGGATCTTCCGTGGTACTGAAATTTGCCAGCTCTCCCCAGAGGCTGACCCAGGCATCACTCTGGGTGTGTGTGAACAAGGAATGATCTCATGCTGAAGCTGAGATGGTCGGAAACTGAGTTGGAGGGCCATTTCAGGGTCCAGAATTGAGACCAAGTTGGATAGAGCTGCCTTCTGCTGCWCTACTGGTGTGTGCCTCTCCTGCTAGGCCCCTTGGTGGATAGTTTTGCTTGCAGAGCAAATGCCAAGTGGGACTTCAGCCAAGTCAGCGAGGGAACGGGACCAYGTCCAGGTCTGTAGCCAGGATCATAGCCAATGAGTCTGCCTGGGCTTGGATTTACCTTGGCTAAATACCCCTCCTGGGTTCTGGGCCCCTTTGGGGTTTCACTAACTCCTGCCTGAATCCCAAAGCTCCCACACCAAGGCATTTTTTTATTTTTACCTGTGAATAGCTGAGAAATTATTGTTGCTGAAGGGGGAGGAGCATGAGCCAGCTTCTTTGGTTGCTGCTGAGAAGTCGATGGTAATCTGAACCTCTGTTCACCTGTGTGTCACATGTCATTTTCCTTTGTCATCTTTCACGATTTTCTCTCCATTTTTGATTCCCAGAAATCTGATTATGATGATATGCCTAAATATCATTCTTTTGTATGTGTGTGTTCCTCCTGTTTGGGGTTCTCTGACATTCTTGGAACTGTGAATGTATATCTTTCACCAGAATATGGAAAATTGGGGGGGCCATTATTTCTTAAAATATTTTTGTCTTTTTTGGGGACTCCAATTATACATGCTGTGAAGGCTCCACTCATTCTATTTTTATTTTTTTTCAATATTCTTCCCTCTGTTCTTTAGGGTGATAAATCAAGATTCTTTTGATCTAATTTCATTCTTTTGATTTGACTTTCTTTAATCATCTCCAATCGGCTAGAAAAATCTATTTGGTTAATTTGTAACTTAAGTTCATGAATGTTTTACTCAGCAAATTATTCTCMATTTAAAATTTTATTTCTTGTTTAAAAATTTTTTATTTGTTCATTGCTTGGTCCCCAGGCATAATCATTATAGCTTTAACACAGATGTTAAAGTCCTTGACTACTAATGCCAACATCTGAGCCATTAGTTATCTACACTTATGTCACATTTCTCTTGAGAATGCTTTTTCTGTCTCTAATCATTTTCCTTCCTCCCTCCCTCTCTCTCTCCCTCCCTCTCTTCCTTCCTTCTCTTTCTCTCTTTTTTAGCAGGTGGTTAACTTGGCCACACTCAGACTCCAAACTCTTTACCTCCGATAATGCCTAGCAATTAAAAACTCCACTCAGCTATTCGAATCCAAGGCTCCATGGACTCTGTGTATTTCCACAATCCGCCGGTAATTTGGGCAGAATTCTTTCATAGAATTTGTGATTTCTCTTCTCCCACTCTCTTTAGATTTTTTCCTTCCTAAAAAAATGAGAAACTGGTAACAATCCCACTTATATCTTCCAGTTGTAGATGACCAACACATTCTGCCTGTTCTGGTTGCTCTCCAGAACATCATGATGTAGCTTTTTAAACATGTTGTCCATCCTTGATAGGTGGCATCAGTCAGAAGAGAGTCCTCCAGATTATTCACCCCTCCATTACTTGAAGTGAGAGCTCTGCAGTTTAGTCCTAGTTGTGAATTATTTAATTAATCTCTGCCACTCACTGACATTTACCGTGAGTGTACACAGAGATTTTTTTAAAAAAAGACACACAAAAACTGCTGTTTCATAAGATAGCTGCAGGGTTCCCAGAATGATGTCAGAGAGCTTTTTGGATTTGAATCAGTTCAAGCCAAGCTTTGTTCTGCCCCTGGGTGTTTTCACCTGCTGAACATGTGGACTTTAGAGATGAAGACAAAGTCTGATTTGCAAAGAACTCTGTATTCTTTGGGTTGGAAGTTTTCCCTAGGATGAACTTGTTCTACTAATTGATCATGGTGACTAAGTTCTGAATTTAAAGCCGGATAGATCTAGGTCCACATACTCTTTCTGTCATTTCCAAGCTTCCTGGGGTTGGACAAAGAGCTTAAATTTGTGAGTGTGAATATTCTTGTTAATGCAATAGCAGTACTAACATACCTTCCACGTGAGGTGTAACCTTATATGACTTGAGACACTGCAACACAGTGAACCGTAGATATGTTTGAGTCCATATGATTTAATCATGGAAACTTTGAGTCTCAATTTCTTCATCTTCATCATGAAAAGAAAACACCCATCTTGTGGCTTTAATGTACATTTGAGCGAGATGATGTTTATACATGTCTTCAGGCAAGAGGTGACTTGAGAAATAATCGAGAATCACAGGCTTGGGGACAGGAGTTTCCCCTTTGCTAACAAAGCAATAAAATCTTTTTTTTTTCTTTTTCCTCGAAACTATGTCCTTGTTATTGGATTGGCATCAGGGATGAGGACTGAACTTTTGGGAACAGATTTGGCAACCCAGGTGGGACCCCAGAGCGGTTTTCTTGGGCCCAAGAGCAGTTTTCTCCAGCTTTCTTGGGCAGGCCTGGCTCTCCAAGGAACCCCACTTGCATGCTGAGGATTCAGGTGGCTGGTGAAGTTGTGGAGAGCCACCTGCAGGGGAGTTAGGAGACAGAGGAGTTTGCTTCAAGAGGAACAGAGGAGCTATTCCTGTGAGTAAAGGGGAGGACTCAGGGATTGTCCTAGCAGCTGCTGAAGCTCCTTTTGAAGGTGGGAAATCCCACCTTCTCTCCCTGAATGGCCCAGGTTGCTCCAGTGTGGTCCACTTTGAGAAAAAGGAAACTGAACTCAGTAAAGTCGTGACACGCTTGGCCATCTGGTAAGTGCCCCAGTGTGCAYACTGAGACCCTGGATTTCACACATCTGTTTTCTCTTCATGGGAACATCTGGTCCCTCTTTGTAGGGGCATCTGTGGAGTCACTGGTGTAGGGGTCATGGTTAAGCAGGACTCTAGGGATATTTACTCCCTACTGGTCTGTTCTAGGTTCTCATTTGTTTGTTGACCTTGGGTTTGGGAATGCCCTCTGATTATCTGTTTGTGTTTGTGTTTTGTTTGTATCTGTTACTGCCCCTTTTGAGACATGGCCAGTACTGCATTGATTATCCAGGTAGTCTCTTAGGAAAGATCTTGGCTGGTCAATTTAAAGGTCCCTATCTGTCAGCCATAGCTTGGGGGGCTCTTCTCTAGTTGTCTCTGTATTTCTTTTCTGAACAGTCTTGCGATTGCAGTTGGTCTGTCAGAGGAAAGTAAGTTTAAGAACGACCATTTGAAAAGCACTTGCCATGTGCTCAGGATTGGCAAATGTCTTCCCAACATTATTTCAAATAGTCCCCCACCCCAGGACATAAACCCCATTTAATATTGAATCTGGGATGAAAAGGGAAGACAAGAAAGATCTCAGCTTACCATCTACAAGTTTAAGCAAGTCTAAGATCGTGTTTTTACTGTAACCATCTGGCTTTTGAATAGCTTTCTGGATTATTACACAATCTTTCAACTTGAGTTGGTCTCTCAAAGGTAAAGTAAGTGGAAGAAATTTGTACACACAGGTCTATCTGTTTTAAAGGTTCCTGTCTGGCAGCCCTGGGTTTCGGGAAATCTCTCCTATCTGTGTGTTTTGTATTTGTTCTTGATCCTTTAAGACATAGACCATGCTACATTGATTTTACTGATAGTCTCTTGAACAAAGAGATGTCAGCTGAATAGGTCACCTATAGGTATAAGTCTGTCGAAGAGAAAGAGGGTTTGCTATAATAAAATTGGCTATAATCAGCACAAAGTGATTTAATTTTAATAGACTGATATGAAGCAAAGTCTGAATCATTTATCTTCTCTTGCCTATCAAGATAATTCTCCTGTATATGTTAGGCTTTTTTACTTAAGTAAACCAAGTCTTAAAGGAATTAGGGTTTGAACCTGTTTGAAAGCCTTTTAAAAGATTACTTTGTAACTGGTTAAGTAAACAACATATTTTAGGTTATAACAATATAGTTGACACCCCAAATATGTGACTAGGCATATGTATGCATCTGAGAACTCTGTCTAAGCCTTGTCTAAGTGTTATGTAAAATTTATAAAATGAAAGTTTATGTAAGTTTACCAGCAAGATAACCAGTAAGTGATCTCCTTTATACATGGTATCTGACATAGAAGGGCCACATTATCATTTTGAAGACTTGTCATATCTGTTTACTCTAACTCCATTTCTGATCATTAACACTGTTTCTTGCATGTATAAGGATTTAAGGTTATTCTTTGATTTTTTCTTAACCCATGCAGCCCTGTGATTATTGTTACCATACACTATGGGTTCTAAACTGTACTTTAAAAGTTAAACTTAGTTAAGTGTAAAGYTTAGGGAAGAGCCCTTTACCTAGTTTGTATTCTCCAAACTAAAATTGCCTGTAGCAATAATCTTGGATTAGGATAGAAATAACAAATCTGGTTGCTATTTATTCATGTCATTTGCTGTTTTATAGCCGGATAAAGTAACCTGTTGGGTCAATAAGTTATTATATAATTTTGTGTGTCATTTTTCACTGTGGAATAGGAATGTAAATATATTTTTGGAAGGTAATAAGGAGAGTCTAATCAGTTTAAAGGTGACATTGTGATACATGAAAGCATTTTGCCACTTTTTCCACAAAAAGAAAGTTGAAGGCTAAAAAAAAAAAGAGTTATTTATTTTCTCTCACTACTCCCCTCTCCTAATAACCAATAATAAGAATACTCCTCTTACTGTGTGCCCACTCTAAGCTGTCGCTATTATACATATATTATCCCCTTTCATTATCACAGTAATCATATGAAGTAGGTGCTGTCATTTTCATGTGAAGAAATAGAGGTAGAGCATTTCTAGAGCTTTGTCAGGGTCTGTGTGACATAGTAACAGGTAGTAGAGAATTCCAGCTCTGTCCATCTGACTACCATTTGAAAAGCACTTGCCATGTGCTAAGTATTGGCAAGTGTCTTCCCACCATTATTTCAAATCGTCCCCCCACCCCAGGACATAAACCCCATTTAATATTGAATCTGAGATGAAAAGGGAAGCCATTGATGTATTCTAGATGAAACCACACTGAGATTTTGTCATGTTCTTAAATGCAGAGGCAAATTATTATTATTTTTTTATCTTGGAGATGGATGATAAAGTTGACCAGATAATGGAAAGACAAAAGAATGTTTCTCCCAGTTCCTCAGGATAAGAAAGATCTCAATTTACCAACCATGTCTGTTTCTTGGTGGAAGATACCAGGATTGGAAATGGGAAAGTGCTCCAGAGAGGCAGAACATCATTAGGAAACTTGAACAGGTGAAACCAGCTTAAATAAAACCAGGGCTCAAGTCTTATTCCTGCCCTATAGGGCCTCTGGGACCCTGGACATGTTACAGAATCTCTGCAGCATCCACTTCTTCGTATAGGAGTCATGACCAACCATGCATGTTACTGCAGATGCCCAAAGCCGGGGATTCATTTTTTTTTCTTGTCATCTTTAATTCCCTATCAAAACCAACAGCAAGTCCTTCTAATGGTAACTCAAAAACATGCTCTATGTTCACGCACCCCTCTCCACCTGCATTCCCTTGACTCTTGTCAGAACCGACATCTTACTTGCTTAGACTATAGCAGCAGCCTCCTGGCTGGAGACCCATTACCTATTCTTTTTTTAATTTGCATTTATTCATTTATTTATTTTTTGTATGTGGTGCTAGGGATTGAACCCAGGGCCTTGTGCATGCAAAGCAAGCTTTCTACCATCTGAGCTATGTCCCCAGCCCCCTTAGCCATTCTTGACTCCTTTTAAAATCTCTTCTCCAAAGAACTGCCACAGTAGGCCTTGTAAATCTAGCCATTTCTTTTTCTGAATGTTTTACTCTCCAATTTTATTTCAAAATCACATAATCAATAAAATTAGTTATCAATCGGATCATGTCTCTTTCCCCTTAAAATTGGGGGAAGACTTCCCATTGCACTTAGAATAGAATTTGACCTCATTATACGGATCTTAAAAGTATTTCCTGTTATGCCTTCTGCCTGTGTCTCTGACCTCATTCTTGATCACACTTCTCACTCTATAACCTGCCACACCAGCCTCCTAGCTGTTCCTTGAAGCCATCAGCCACCAACCTTTGTAGGTGCCTTCTGCCTGACAGTCCTTTCCCAAAGCTGGCTCCATCCCCTCTTCTGACCTCAAAATGTCACCCCTAGTAACACCATCCTCTTGCCCTGTTCTATTTTTTGTCTTATGTCACCATATGAAATCCTTTTAGCCATTTAATTGACATTTGGCTTGTTGTCTTTTGCCTTTCTGTCATGAGCATGTAAAGTCCTTGACAGCAGTGACCTTGTCTGACATGTTCACATTATGGCCACACCTGCAAGATGCTCCTTAAGTCCCTGATGGATGAATGAATGAATGAACCAGAGGTTGGTTATGAGACTAAGGAGGACAGCAAGTATCAAGGACCCAGATTGACAAGAGATTCAACTCCATGAAGTCATTTTGAGAAGTTGATGGAGGGACTCTCTGCTGTTCGATGATGTCCCTCTCTCCACTCATGGCGTAGAGTGATTATCAGCTTCTCCCGTGACCTAAACCAGATGTGTCTGGGTCACTTCCACCTGAAGTTTGCTGCCCAGACTTAGAGTCCAGTGGCCCCGGGCTAACTAGAGGAGAGGCTGCAAATCAGAGAAACAAAAAAAGAGATCTTCCAAGAGTTCCGTCTCCACAGTCCACCTGTGCCGCAGTCTGGCTGGGCACAATTCAGGAGCCACTTGTTAAAAGAAACGAACTTTATTTTTAGAGCACACACACACACACACACACACACACACACACACACACAGCACCACACAGCTCTTCAGGAATTCCCTCAGAGCCCAACTGCCACCACCGGCTTCCCACAAGCCTCTCAACCTCCCCCACCCCTCCTGCTCTTGAGGCCGATTGGCTGGGTTGCATGGGCGGAGCCAAAAAAAAGTCCCCCAATGAGCAGCTCCGTGGTCTGAAAGGGCAAGGAAACAACCCAATGAGCATCACCGCAGAGGAGCCAATCAGTTGGCAGCTAGAAGTTTGCTGGGGCCGCTGGGAGCCAATCATCAGCTGGCAGCTGGAAGTTTGCTGGGGCCCCCTCGGCTGTGGCTCTCAACACACCTGTTGTGAGAGATGAGAAATCTGAGGCAAAGAGGGATAAGAAACCTGTCCACATCACAGAGCTGGGAAATGGTAAATGTTCTACTCAAGGCTGGGCCCAGAGCCTGTCCTCTTGACCATAAACTAGTCCTACTGTCCCACAGGGGACTCCAGGATGTATCTCATGGGCTCTTCCTCCAGTCTCCATTCTGTCCTCGAAAGAGACCTCTGCTTTAATAACAGGGTTTTCGTACTTTGATACATTGGGGGTTTAATGAGTAGCCAACCTTCTTACCTGTGTAAGAAACTAGACTTGACCCTCAGCCCTGTTGCCAGGGATCTTTAGCGGTGACTTTGAGTGGAGGTATTGTTCCCCCATACTCAGGGGCGACTGGAAGGCCAAAGGTGTTTGGGAAAGCTGGGCCAGAATCCTGGAAGTCTTCTCTTCTCTAAGAACCACCCCCACAATGAAATATGGCTCCAGTAGCAAATTAATAGTACAGACCAGTACCTGTGACAACCCAGGGTGACCAGTGCAACCTCCATCTCAAACCTGTGTCTAATGCCCAGGCCAGGCGCTCTATAGACTTTCTGTCACACAATTCTTTCAATAGTCCCATGGAACAAGCATGAGACAGGAGGAGGATCGCAAGTTCAAAGCCAGCCCCAGCCCCTTAGCAAGGCCCTAAGCAACTCAGTGAGACCCTGTCTCTAAATAAAATACAAAATAGGGCTAGGGATGGGGCTCAGTGGTTAAGCACCCCTGGGTTCAATCCCCAGTACAAAACAATAAAGAGGTCAAGGGCTTCCGCAACAGCCTTCTTGTAAGTGGCTGAGCCAGAATCTCAGCTCTTGCATTTTGTAATGCACTCAATTGTCTCTCCTAGAATCCCAGATTAAGACAGCAGCCATTAACAGTTTTGCTCAGCAYGGTGTTATGTATTTCATGAATTGTCTCATCTAATCCTAAAACACACACACACACAAGAAAAAAAAACTTGGAAAATAGGTATTGACAGTTACCATTCCAGTTTCACCCATAAGGAAAGTGAGCCACAGAGCAAGGAAGTCAACAAGATCTGTCATGTGTTAAGTGACAACCCTGAGGCTCAAACCCGGATCTTTCTGCCTCAGGGCGCAGTACCTACCTAGCTGCTGCCACTCAGCTGTCACCAGATGAAGACATGAGGGTGTGGGGCTGGATGAGAGAAGCCAGTTAGCCACAGACAGCTGATGAACATGCTCCTCTGGTTATTATTCTTGCACACCAGGGTCATCCCACAAAAGTAGGAGGTGACTCTGTAGAATCTGTCTCTCTAACTGATTTTCTCTCTTAGAGACCTGCAACTGTGTTCTACCCTGTTCTATTGGGCGTCTCCTCCCCCGTGCTGAGTCAACCAATTCCTGACCAGTTCTCCGCTCAAGGTTCTTTGCAGCCAGGATCCAAGGTCTGCCGAGTGTACTTGTCTGGAGAGACCTGAGCACAAAACAAAGCCCTCTTTCCTATTCCTGTTGGGGACCTAATCCAGCTGTGTGTCCTCAACAGCACCAGGTAAGAYAGAAACAGACTCTAGCTTCTTTGAAAGCATGTGTGTATATGTGCGCTTGTGTGTGTGTGTTTCACAGAAGCCCTGAACTGAAAATCCAATTTCAATTTTTAACTGCCATTGACCAGTTAGGTGACATTTTGGGCAACAATCACTTAACTTCTCTTACACTTCATTTCTTTCCCTGAAAAAATAAGGATGGTGATATGGGGTAAGAAGAATAAATAGGACCAGGCACAGTGGCCCACGCCTGTCATCCCAGCAGCTGGGGAGGCTGAGGCAGGAGGGTCTCGAGTTCAAAGCCAGCCTCTGCAAAAGCAAGGCTGCGCTAAGCAACTCAGTGAGACCCTGTCTCTAAATAAAATATGAAATGGRACCGGGGATGTGGCTCAGTGGTGGAGTGTCCCTAAGTTCAATCCATGGTATCCCCCCAACCCCGCCGCACCAAAAATAAATAAATAAATGGGAATACACCATGTTCAGTGGAGCCCAGTGGCTGGCCCATAGTTTACCCATCAGGCAACTCTGGCCGTGGTGGAATTGGGTGGGGAGTACAGCGGGGGAGCCCGGGGACCGAAAGAGAACTTCACAGTGCAGAAGTTGGTCCACTTTCTATTAAATGAATGCCTTCATTCATTTTCTTTAAAAAAAAAATGTATCTAAGAAGGAGTGTGTCTGGCTTTAGAATCACTGAGAGTTGAAGGGCACTTCAACATGCATTGATTGAGCTCGTATTGCATACCCTACTCAATGCTGGAAAACTGGGAAGTAGGTGTTATTATGCCCCCAAGTTCAGAGACATGAACAGTTGCAGAGAGCACCCAGATGGGGATGGGGGGGCCAAAAGTCAAACTCTGGCTCTGAACTCCAGGATTGCCTAACACACCGAGAGCTGTTGCCTTCTTAAGTAGCTTACTGAGTTCAAAGGCTGTGAGGTCAGAGTTTGATTGCAGAAGATTTTGAAGGCACCTGAGTGCCTGCACAYGTAGTTTGGAGGCCAGCTACCTCTCAAAGCCAAGTCCAAACTTGCCTTCAGAATAGACTTTAAACACCTCAAAGACTGTTCTTTAAAGCCATCTTCATAGAATGTTCTTGACTGAATGTTTCAAATGGGTAGGAACTCTCTCAGTCTAATTAATCTCTGATAGTATCTACAACCATATGTGGCACATCCACAATAGATATTTTAGAAATTAACAAATATCTTTTTCTRTAGTTCAATCTATGGCCATACTGGGTTTTCTCTCCCTGGTTTTCTGAATTATGACAAAGAAGGAAAAAACTAACCATTTATTGAGTACTTTCCTATGTGCCAAGCACTATAAGCAACAGATGGAGGACAGATATAGTTATTGATATGCACATAYCAACATAGTTAGAGATAGTGATATGCATATAGGTACAATTATAAATATAGATAAAATAATAATTATGAGGGTAGATATAGGTGTAGATACTGATGTAGATAGAGACATAGGCCTAAACATAGATGTACAGATATAGGTATTTTTGACTTTTTCTTTCTTTCTTTCTTTCTTTTTTTTTTTTTTTTGGTGGGGGGTCACTGGGAATTGAACTCAGGGGCACTTGACTACTGAGCCCCATCCCCAGTCTGTGAGTCAGTGTCTCACAGAGTTGCTTAGCACCTCACTGTTACTGAGGGTGGCTTTGAACTTGGGGTCCTCCTATCTCAGCCTCCTGAGCCGCTGGGATTACAGGCATGCACCACCAGGCCTGGATGACTTTTTAGTCTTCTTAACATCATGAATCAGGTTCCTCTATGTCTGTACATATCGGTGCAAAGTTGGACCTGTTAGTTTCTACATTCAGAAACYGAGCCCTACTTCTTTTTAGGCCCTATTCTAGAGGTTGAAGGGTCATTTCTCTAGGCAGGGCTTCAGCAAGGTTCCCCAGGGAGAGTGTTATCTACTAGCTCATCTTCTGAGAGTGTGCATCTGTGCTGGGTTGATGCAAAACGCCTTTCTCAGGATGTCTTTACATCACCACCACGAATTCAGGCAACAGCTGCTGCTATTCCTGTTGAGGTTTGCAGAGGAGGTTCAGTAGGCTGCTCACAGTTATGCAGGTGCCCAGCACAGGGGCTGGAAGTGGAACTCTTTGATCCCTAAGGCCACATTCTCAACTGCCACACTCCTCCTTAGCTGGGCACCAGATTTGGCCGTCTTGCATAATGAAGATTAAATTCGAATTGCAACCATAAGATGATGATGTCAAAGTCATTTATTCTGTATTTGATCAAGAGGGTTATGGGTTCATCATGATTGCAGTAGCAAATTACCACAGTCTGAATGAAAGACATTTTTTTTTTTCTCCTAGTTCTGTAGACTAGAAGGCCAAAGTCAAGGTGGTTTCTTTTGAGGCCTGTCTCCTTGGCTCGTAGATGGCTGTCTTCTTTTTCTCTTGGCCTTCTCCCTCCAAGCATGTCGGTGTCCTTATCTCCTCTTCTTACAAGGCAAGCAGTCATTGTATGAGGACCTATCCTAAGAACCTCGACTTAAGAGACCCTATCTCTAAAAACAGTCCCATTCTGAACTATTGGGGATTATTTCTCCAACATGCCTTTTGGGGGAACACAATCCAGCCCAATGATGAAACAGGTTTCATTTCATATGTCAACTTGATTAGGAATGACTCTGTAAAAGACCAACCCAGGGTAGATCTTGTAGATTCACTCAGTCTGGTAGGGAAGGTATTGAAAGGCTAGCAGCTTACACCCCAAGGATGGTGGTGTATGTGTTTCAGAATCCGTATGGCCTCAGGTGACAGAAATCCAAGCGAGGACATGGCTGGCTCACAGAATCAAGGGTAAATTAATTTCCTCATTATATCTCTTGTTCTTTAGCCACTTATTAAGGGGCCATTTGCACTGTCTTTGGAGCAAATAGTGAGTTAATATTTAAGGAAGACCCCCGAGGTCATATATGTAGTAGAAAAATAGCAACTGAGTTTGGTGTTCTCACTCTAAACCAGCTCACATCTGTGCAGGGAGGTGTATGTTGGGGAAAATCACAGAGGCGGAAATGAAACGGTTCTGCTGTTAAACTTGCCTTGCAACTTTGGAGATACCCGTGTCCCTCCTTAGCTTAGACTAGGGATTTAAAGCTCAAATGTCAACAGGGGCTGAGCAGCTAAGGTTACTGAAGGAGGGAGGTGCGATAAAACAGGGAACGGTGTGAACTGGGTCAAGTTGGACAATGTCCCATGAAAATGAGGCAGACAGTCCTCATCCCCAGCCGGTTGGTGCCAGGTTGAAATAAAAACCCAGTGTTGCTGGCCATTACTACTCTTATCAATCTACTCTATGACGCTATTGTCCAAGAATATTACTGTCAAAACTGAGGGAGGGTGGCCTTGTGAGTGATAAAGTGTTTGAAACTTGTTTGCCAAGTGGAAAACATCTATCTGTTCAGTGAACATTTCCATGGATAGATCCAGACGTTGCCCTGTAGCCCATAAATATGCAAAATTATCATTTGTAAAATTATTATTTGTCAATTTAAAAATAAGATTAAAAAAAAAACAACAACTAACAAGCATCTATTCCATGAAGACCCTATGTCTAGGGCCTACACCCTTCAATATAGTCACTCCTATGATAAAATTAGAGTCAGTTGGAGTCTTTAACTCCACAATCTAGTTATCATCATCAGTTAGTCCATCTCAATCCAGTCTGTAAAATCTAAAGCTAACTTCCAAACACAGAGTCTCTGAAAGGATTTTCTAACAGAAAATGACACAAAATAAAGCCATCTTCATGGAAAGGTAGATTCTCACATAAGCCAATTTTCATATTCAAAATTCAAGAAGAATCTTAATAGATGAGAGTTCTACTCCCATGTTGAAAACATCTTTCAGGCTCCAGAACGACCAACAGGTTTCCTTTCGTGTGTTAACTCGGATGGATCGGGAATGGCTGCCCAGGAGAGCCTAGGGAAGATCTCATGGGTATATCCCAGTCCAGTGGGGAGGGGGCTCTGAGACTAGCAGCTTCTTCCCCGAGGATGGTGGCGTATGTGTGTTCGAATCCACACGGTTTCAAGGAATGGAGACCCAGTCTCAGGCAAGGAGGAAATTGTTGGCTCACAGAGTATAAGAGAGAGTGGCAGAGGCTGAGGGGCCTCTCAGGAGCAATATAAAGCAGGGATTTGAATGTCTCCAGAATTCTGCTGCCCTCATCTCCATCTCTCTAAACATAAGCTTCCCTCTTTTCACATGATAGGAATCATAGACACAGTTCCCCAAATGTGCATTTTGGGGCTTCCCCTAGTGAGAGTCAGCCATATCTATTCTTTGAGCGTGCGCGCACACACACAGAGACACACAGACACACACACACACACACACACACACACACACACACACACTCACACACACACGGAGAGGGATTCTGATTGACCCAGATTGGGTTCATAACATCATTAGAAATGACTGCACAACCCTGAACCAAACACCTTTAGTCAGGACATAGGGTTATCTGAAGACGTAGCCATTTCTAAGGGGAACCGCCAGACTAAATATGGTGGGAAGAGTGGTCTCTGAAATAAAGACAGACTGGGGTACAGAACTTCCAAAATGACCCGTTTCTTCCACAAGGAGAATGGCTGGCCATACGGTTGCCATCTTTGACTTAAATCCAAAGTTGCTGAAGGAGAAGGCCACCATGAATGCGTTACCAACCTCACGTAGCACATTGTACCCCAAGATTCCTCAGTGGAGGAGATAAATCCCCACCTACATCAATAAGCTGTGCCTTCCAGCCCCTGGTGGACAGAAACAAARCTTTCACTCTAACCAGGAACTGAGAACACTCATCCTTTTTGTGGGAACGTTTCCTGCTGCATGGTCAACCGGTAAGCCGTCTCTTCCCAAGGCAGGTGGTGACCTGAGAATTCCGTGTCCACTTCCTGAGGACTACCCCACTATGCAGTGGCTGATGAGATTCCGGATCCTCTGTGGCATCCACAAATCCTTCCACATCGTCCACCCTGCCCCTCGGCAGGTGGTCCGCCAATCTTCATCAGGACTTAGAGCCCCAAGGTGGAGTGACCATGATACACCTGAGGAATTCAACTTCGCCAGCTCAGTGGTGGACTACTGGGCTCAGATGGAGAAGGTAAGAGTGCATTGTGTTGAGGGCAGAGAGAGGGTCCGTCTCAGAGGCCTGATCTTGTTTTTATTAGGTGTGTCCAGAGAAACTAGTCTCTGGGGCCTCCAGAATATTCCTCCTCTAGCACATGGCTCATCTTTTCCCAAGACACAGACCAAGAGCAAAATAATGATGGCACAAGAAGTTAGAGTGGACAATGGGTGGTGTGTCCAGCTACTAAGTCTCAGCCACACTGTGAAAATCCACCCAGAATCCATCTTTGTACAAAGAGAGAATTCACCTGAGATGGAGTTGGAGCGGATAAAAATTTTTTTATGAACCCCATGAACATGCATCCATACATTATTATTCGAGGCTAATATGCCTTCTCAAATGTCTTTCTCTCCACCCTCTTTTTCTTCCTTTTTCGAAATTTTCATAATAACCCCAGACTGTCCACATCCAGTTATGCTAGGGAAGTGGTATGGGTTGCTGAGAGACCAAAGAAACCTGGAGGTGGTATGTGAGACATAGGGTTAATTAAAAACGAGCTTATAGGGAAGGTCCTAAGGTGATGCACTAGACAAATGGCACCTCCATCCCTCATAGGGCTTTGTACAGTATCGTAGATTACTGGATCCTCCCTACAGCGCTCTGTTTCACACCAGTTACTGCGGGTGGGGGGATTTTATTGGTTAGTGTACATAAATAGTGATATCATAGTTTGTGATATCAATGGAACATCATTGTTCCCTTGTATAACCATAATTTCAAGGAGTAGATTATCTTGGCATATGTGTAAGAATGCAGGTTCTACAGATAACACGTTTGCTCTAAAAKGTATTGCAGGTGTGAGAATCAGTGTCCTTCATGATAATCCTTATCTGGGGCATTCCAATCTATATGCTTATTCTCATTGGTCCCTTGTCTTGGCTAGGTTCTCAGAAAGGGAAAGAGGCATTTCAGAGACATGATATTTACTTTCCTCAATTTTTTTCAAGGATAACATAAACCCTAAGAAAAATAGAGCCTTTCATTACAGAGAACATTTTGTTTTACGTCAGTCACTTTGCATTTAATCCTTTGATTTTATGGGCAGTTATGGTCCTCGTCTTCCACCTGAGGAAACTGAGGCTCCAAGGACTTAAATAACCTGCTGGTGGAGGAGCAGAATTTGGTGCCCGGGATGATGGCTTTCATAATCCATTATTTAACCAAGTCTCAAAATGTGATGAGGTCAGATTTTGCCTTCAGAGCATAAATTGACTTTCTTCAATGCCCAAACCAGAAATCTGGTTAAGAACTTTGGAACATGAAATGAACCAGAGAGGAAGTAGAAAGGAAGAAGCAATGGTATATCACCTTTTCCCTGGTTATGTCCCTAAAGTTCTGATTAATAAGTTCATGCACCAACCTGTGGATTTAACAACCAAGTAAACATTCCCCCCCCCAGAGAATGCTAATCTTTGTTGGGCTTTATAATATCATTATCAGTCACTGCCAATTTCTCCATATCTCCAAATCTTTCTCACTCCCAGCATCTCATTGGTATTCATTCTCAAAATATTTCTTGGCTGTCTTTTTTTCTGTTTTACCAATTGCCTTGATCATGATCAGTAACTTAGACTCATTCAGTGACTCCCTCTAGAGACTTGTCTGGTACCTAACATAATAGTTGCTCACTGCAGTTGTAGAATAAACTAATTTTGGTACATGCCTTGCTGCTTACTCCTGTGAAAGACCATCCATAAGGTCCTCTCTGGCTTCCTGAACCTCTCCTTACCGATTAACAAGCATCACACAGAAACCGATCCATGACCTAATCAATGGCAATGCCCGAACCATTATAGAGTGACAGCATTTATATTGACTCGGTTTTTTTTCAACATATTTTAATTGTAAAATGTAAGTTAGAAATGCAAGAGTTTTTGGTGAAATATTTTGATCATTTTAGTCTTGGCCAAGAATTCCTTATAAAACAAAATGGAGCTTGTAAGCTAGACAACATGGTCCATGAGTGGAATATAGTTACTTATTGAGGCCACCCAATTTGTAACCCATGGTTGCTCTTGGAAACCAGATTATGTATTATTATAATCTCCTAGGATAGTATATTTAATTCCAGTTGATTTCTGGAGCAGCATCCAAATTTATTCATGAGAGATTCATGTCAACATTTATTCATTCTGTTTCTAATTAACTTTATTCATTCATTCATCTAAGACTTGATGAACACCTAAGACGTACCAAGAACTATTCTAAATAATGGAAATAGACAAGTAAATAAAACGWACGAGTCTTCACTTATTTTGCATTTTGCCAATTGCTTTCTTCATGTGTTATAGCTTTTTTGTTCCTCATTTCCTCTCTCTCTCTACTTTCATGTTTAGTTGATCTTTGATAGTCATGATTTTATTTTATTTTTCTCATTTCCTTTTGAACATCTGGAAACTATAAATATTTCCTTTGTGACCACCATGAGGATTTCACAAAACATCCTGTGCTTATAACAATCTACTTAAAAAATGATAATAACCGGCCAGGWACAGTGATGCACGCCTATAATCCCAGCAGCTCAGGAGGCTGAGACTGGAGGATCACGGGTTCAAAACCAGCCTCAGCAACAGTGAGGCACTATACAGCTCAGGGAGACCCTGTCTCTAAATAAAATACAAAATAGGGCTGGAGATGGGGCTCAGTGGTTGAGTGTCCCTGAGTTCAATCCCCTGTGCCAAAAAGAAAAGAAAAAAACTGAACTTCAGTCACACATACAAAAATTCTTCTCCTTTACAGTTTTTTATCCACTGTATGTTGTCACAAAGGACATCCTTATGTAGTATGTACCCATTAGCATAAATTTAGAATATTTTATGCCTTATATTTTAAATAGTATAAAGTTATAAGCCAAAATTAAAATAACGATGATTCTCATATTGGAACATGTAACTACCTTTATAAAAATGATGTTTTCATATTTCACATTTTCCTTAAGGCATCAAGAAAATAATTAACAAAATGTGAAGGGAAAGTGAGGGTCATTAGTTTTGTTTACTTTTCTACCCCCATTATTTAGGATCTTATAAGGCAATTCTAGTGAAACTCCATCAACTTTTGTTTATCTGAGAATATACTAATTTCTTCCTTAGTTTTGAAGAAGAACTGCTGGGTATAGAATTCTTGGCTGATAGGATTTTTTTCTTTTTTTATTTAAGCACTTCAGATATATCATCTCACTGCCTTCTGGCCCGAACGTTTTCTGCTGAGAAATTTGTTAAAAATGTTCTTAAGGATCTCTTGTACACAATGAATCACGGTGAATTGATTTTATTTTACTGCTTTCAAGACTATCTATTTGTCTTTGGCTTTCATGTTTTGATTATAATGTGTCTAATTATGGTTCTCTTTGGGTTTATCCTTCTTAAAGATGTTGAGTCTCTTGTCCAGGTCTTTCCTCAAATTTGGGAAGTTTGGGGCTTTACTTCATCAAATAAGTTCAATGTACCTTTCTCTCTTTGTTCTCCCTCTGGGACTCCCAAAATGTGTATATTGTTGTGCTTGGTAATATGCCATAGGTTTCTTAGGCTCTGTTCATTTGTTGTTATTCACTTTTCTTTTTGCTCCTCAAATCCAATAATTTCAAATGAACTGTCTTTAACTTTACTCATGCTTTTCTTCTACCTGTTTGAATCTTCTGGTGACCCCCTCTAGTGAATTTTCAAATCAGTTACTGCAATTTGGGGCTCCTGAATTTCATTTAGTTCTTTTAAAAAATAAAATAAAATAATTAACTCCCCTTTGTTGATGTTATCACTTGTTCATTTAGTTTTCCTGATTTTCTTTAGGGCTTTGTCTATGTCTTCCTTTTGCTCTTTGAGTATAGTTAAGATAGTTGTTTTAAAATCTTCATCGAGAAACCGATGCCTACATTTCTTTAGGGTAAGTTTTTGGAGATTTACTTTGTTCCCTGGAATAGTCCATGTTTCCCTGTTCCTCTGTGTGCTTTGTGAGCATCTGGTGTGGAGGAAGACACTTGTCTCAGTCTTGCAGACTGACTCCCTACAGATGAAAACCTTCGCCAGTTTGCCCGGCTTAATAGATTAATGTCAGCTCAGGCCTTTTCAGAAAGTTGTTTTCCTAGGACCTGTTTAAGTGCTCCTCCCACTAATTTTCCCATTTACCTGGAAGTCTTTAAATGTCGTAATGGCCCTAGACACCTCATCCTCAATTCTTCTCAGGGTCTTGGATGTCCAATCGTATTTCTCTGTCCATCATCTCTTGCCCCCAGTCACCATGATACCTGCTGCCGCTTTCAGAGATCTGCAATCTGATACTCAAACTCCGCTTTTCCTCTGAATCAGGAAGCACAGAAACCAGTTGCTCAGGCAGTCCGGGGCCAAGCCAGAACATTGCAAACAAGTTAGACTCTTTTTCTTCTCTCCTGAGAGCGGAGTCAGGAGTTGGGTGGTTTACCCTTGACTGTAGTGCACCACCCCAAGCATGGGGAAGAGGCAAAGATAAACAAAAACATCACAAATCTTTCTACATTTTAACTGTTGTTTTTTTTTTTTTTTCTTGCTTGCTGTGGGCATTTGCTTGATTGCTGAAGATCCTTGACTAATTTCTAGAGCTCCCAGAAGCTATTTTAGTAAATCTGTTGTTGTTTACTTGAAGTTTCTGAAGAAATAAGGGCCTGGATAGTTTGCTAACTTGTTATCCCGACCTCTAGAAGTACCTTAATTTTTTTTAAATCTCAAAATATTTAGCAATCAAGTGATGCTCTTTTGTTTTATTTTGTTGTGATAATATTGAGCCCTTACTTTATGCCAGATACTCTTATAAGTATTTTTCTCACTAAATATCTCAGACTCTACTAACTTCTAGGCAATATAATTATTCCCATTGCATAATTGAGACACTGAGGCATAGAGAGAAATCCACTGTCCAAACAGAACTAATAGAGAAACATGAAGAAACAGAATCTTAAATCTTCAGTAGAAGATATGAAGGCTGTTCGTGCATGGTCTTATGGGATCTGAGGTGGAGGGGGCTACAGAAGGGCAGAAGTTTGGCTGGGTCCTCACCTCATCTCCCAAATTCTCTTGGCTCCATATATGTTTAAAATGGGACCTGGGTCCTGGAGCGACGCTCACCCAGCCACGTGACCTCGACAATGGATTGTCCAAAGAAGTGGCTGTTTCTTTTGAAGCAGGAAGTAACACATGGCGTGTGATCCCACCTAGGAGGGCAAGAGAGGTTCAGAGACAGCCCTGTGGTGGGTGAACGGCCAAGGCGATGAAGTGAAGTGGAGCTTCCGGGAGATAGCCGACTTAACCCGCCGCACAGCCAACGTCTTAACGAAGGCCTGTGGCCTGCAGCAGGGAGACCATCTGGCCTTGATTCTGCCACGTGTGCCTGAGTGGTGGCTGGTGACCGTGGGCTGCATCCGGACAGGTCAGTGACTCCAGGGGTCCTGAGTGGTCCTCAAGACGCCCTAGAGCCGGTCAGTCCTGGGATATCAGGTTCTGGGCACCCAGCCTGGCACAGGAGTCCCTGCTCTCTTGCTGGAACCATGGGCCAGGCTCCCTGGGCTCTGGCAATTCTTCTCACACACTCATTCATACATTCTCAAGCACAATGTCATTAATGCCAAAATTCTCTCTCTCTCTCTCTCTCTCTCTCTCTCTCTCTCTCTCTCTTGCACACATGCACATGCTTTCTCTTGCATGGTCTCAGAAATTTTTGTTTTTTTAAAGATTGATCAATTGTTAACATTTTCCCATATTTAAGTGATCGCTCAGTCTCTCTCTCAGTGAAACATAAGAATTGGTTGTGGACACTGTGATACCTACCAACAGTAGGCAAATGCTTATAAACACAAGAGAATGCATCTGTCAAAATCCAAGACAATCCCTTGACAGAATTCAATAGTGTTATCATTTGAGAGAAGAGTAACATCAGCACAACTCAGTACCCAACACATGCGCCTAGAGTTCAAGTTTCTCAGCGGTACCAATAATATCCTTTGTAGATATTATTTCTTTAAGCCTAATGAAGTATCATGCATTGTATTTAGTTGTCATGTCTCCTTAATGTCCTTCAAAGTAGAATGGTCCCCCACCTCTTCTGCATGACAAGGACATTTTTAAAGAGTCCAGGGCCAGTTGTCCTGTCTTTCCTGCATGGTTCTATTCAGGTTACGCACTTTGGGTAGGGTTAGTCCCAGGGAAGGTGGGGTCTTTCCCAGTGTGAGCATCCTGATCATCTATAGTAATTATTCCACTACTTGAACAAGGTGGTATTCACCACTTTTTTTTTTTTTAGCAGTAATCTGTATGAGACTGTGTGAATGTCCCATTCCCCAAGAGTCTTTACACTATGGTTGACTCCAAACAGAATTATCCATCAGTAATTTTCAACTGAATTAAGTGACATTATGATTGTTTTATATGGAAGTGTCTATCTGTATCATATTCTCTACATTTATCAGTTGGAATTCTTTTGTAGAGAGCGCCCTTCCTCTTGTAACTACCTATATGGCTTTTATCCATGCGATTCAGAACCAACATGGGACTCATGGTTACTCTTTCTGAATCACATCTTATTCCATCATGCTACACCCCTGTCCTGCGTCTCTCTCTCTCTCTCTCTCTCTCTCTCTCTCTCTCTCTCTTGCTGTCTCTCTCTCTCTCTCTCTCTCTCTCTCTCTCTATCTCATCTCTTCTAACTAATAAAATAATCGATGAATTCAACCAGGTTATTTAGAATCAAGAATTAACATCAGGGATGGGGATGTAGCTCAAAGGTCGAGTGCTCATCTGGCACATGTGAGGCACCGGGCTCCACCCTCAGCACCACATAAAAATAAATAAATAGAATAAAGGTATTGTGTTGACCTGCAACTAAAAAAAAATATTTAAAAATATAACAAGGATGGCAGAGGAAGTATAGAGCTTAGAAATGATCCATGGGAAATCCAAGACCTGATTGAGCTGAGCCCCCTGGGATGAGCAGAATTCCCRAGGATTAGAAGCGAAGGAACAGCATTCCAAGCACGGGCTTAGAGTCAGGAGTGGCCTATGTGAAGGTTGGCCATTTTGAAATAGAGAAGAGCTGTGAGAGAGGAAGATGGCAGGTGGGCAGCCCTGCAGAATCGGGATGGGCAGGGTGGTCTCACGGAGAGAGGACACAGGCGTTAGAGCAGAGAAGAAATGTGGAGGGGAAAACGTTGGTGTCTTATGGAACTTGGGTGGCAGGGAGGTTCCTAACAGGGCATTCAGAGGAGGGAAGGGAATCCCGCAGAGGAGGCCACAGGCTTCAACTCACTGTTGCTGATAGAAATGGAAGAGAAGGTAGACAAGTTCCAAAGACCATGCTGCTAAACTGGGAATGAGCGAAAGAGAGGAAATTTGAGATGAAACTGGTAGAGAAAGACATTAGAGGGTGAAGATGGGCCCTGGAATGCAGCCGGTCCTGATGTTGGGGACACCGTCCTATTCACAACCATGTCCCCAAATCTGGAATAAATTTGTGTAAACCTGGCTCCACCTGTCCTCTGGATGGATCCATAGAAAGCAGAAAATTTAGGGCAAGGCTTACAATTTTACCATGTATATAATCCCTCTGGGACTTTGTTAAAATGAAGATTTTGATTCAGCAGGTTTGGTGCAGGGTGCGAGGTTCTGTGTCCCAGGTGGACGATACCTTGCCTAGCAAGAGGTCAGGGGATGTCTCTGCAGATGAGCCAGGCCTAAAGCAAATGGTGGTGAAAGAACCTGAAACAAGTTGTTCCTTCCTATCCCCAGGCATTGTCTTCATACCCGGGACTACCCAGCTGACTGCCAAGGACATCGTGTACAGACTACAAGCATCTAAAGCCAAGGCCATTGTGACCACAGATACGCTTGCCCCTGCGGTGGACTCTGTGGCTTCTGAGTGCCCCACTCTGAAAACCAAGCTGCTGGTGTCTGACCACAGCCGTGAAGGGTGGTTGGACTTTTGGTCACTGATCAGGTGAGTTTCTGGTCTGATAAATGTGGGTGGTGGGGAAAGGGCATCCACTCCCAAGACCTGGGAGACAAGCAGCCAGTCATCTGAAGCTCACAAGGTTAGATGTCAGAAACTCTCTCTTCCCAGCTGAGTTATCTGTTCTATGATCCTGGGTTAGTGCCTTCCCCTCTCTGGGCCTTGGCTGCTTTATCTGTAAGGAAGTTGAAATTCCAAGCTTCTCTCACTCAGCCTGGATATGTATATAAAGGAGAAGTTTAAAGAGAGAGGGCTGCTGTGTCACATACTCCTTGCAGATAGGGGATTGAAAAATCTTACTTTTATATAAAAATGCATATATGAAGAAGTTTCATGAAATGTAAAAATGAATTTTTGTAAGGCCAAGCTTAAGGCTGCAGTACAAATTGAACTGCTTTTCTGGTGGACCTGAAGCTTCAAGCATAAACACTGCATCAGCCGGGAACTAGGGGCCCATGGGACACCATGGGATTAGATGGGGTAAGAAAGACTCCTTTCCCTCCAACTCGGATTCTGCAAGCACTCAGGCTGATTGTGTATCCTACAAACAAACCGTACTGGGTTTGTGTCCTTGGAGAAGCACCTCAGTTTCTAAAGCTCCTTATTTCAACCTCAAAATGCAAACATTACAGCAAAGTTATGTGTTAGGCCAAAGCCAAAGGATTAAATGAGAAAACCTTAAAATTTAAGAAAACTCTTAGAAAACCATTCCAATGGCCCAAGGCAAGAGGGTGCCATTGGGCAGGAAGACCAGCAGAGCCAGGGCCTCCTCCAGTGCTGAGACCATCTGCAGTTTTCTCTGAACASTGCAGGAAGCTGCCATTTACAGTCAGAGTTGCCAGGAGCCTCTCAGCCAGGAGGTCCTCAGAGTCACAGCAGACAGAAGGAGCCACAGATCCCACCTGCCAGCTCAAGCCCGTCCAGACCAGCGATCCCACACAGCCTTCCACTCTCCTCCCCTGCTTTCTCTCCCCTACTCCTCAACGCCAAGGTCTGGAGTTCGATTGCTGTGAAGCTACTTTGTGTCAGTCACAAGCTTAGCAGCCAGGTTAGGAGCCCAGACCACAGTCCAGACGGCCTGGGGTGGAACCTGGCTCTGCCCTTGCTATGTCTCCAGGCAAGTTCCTCCTCTGCAAAATGGGCCTCCTGAGGGCCGTGCTCCCCTCTGGGTGGCTCTGGGCATGGAGTGAGCTCCTCTCTCTCAAAGCTCAGAGCGTGRCCTGGGACACAGCAAGTGCTATGGGAGTGTTCATTGATTTTCTTAGAATCCACTCTATTTTCTCCATCACCCCCTCCATTGCCAGGCCACTTGTCCATGTCACCCCCACAGTCACTCTAATGGCTGACCCTGGAGGGCTCCTTTTCTCCCCAGTGTTGCAAATCCCCGTTTCCTGACTCTGTGCTTCTTTTGGTTCCCAGAAGATGGAGAAACAGCAAGCGTGACATCTTTTCTTTTGTCTTRAATCTCTTTGCAGGTCAGCGTCCCCCAGCCACACCTGTATTAAGTCAAAGACGTGGGATCCCATGGTCATCTTCTTCACCAGTGGGACCACGGGGCTCCCCAAGATGGCGAAGCACAGCCACGGACTGGCCTTAAGGTCCTGCCTCTCCTCCAGGTAGGAAGAGGGCACCAGCTCAGAGGCTGGCTTCCAGGTCTGGTGCCAGCGGAGTGTGCCTGTGTGCAGGGTGGGCCTCGCGGCTCTCTGTAGGAGGGTCTCCATGTCTGCTCTCTGCTTCAGCCCACTGAGGGTCCCGGAGGTGGAGTCCTGAATCCTGAATGTTGACAGAGACTCAGGGAAATAATAAGGAGGCCCTGGGGGTCCTACCTGAGCACCTCCACAGGAGTGTGGAGGAGATTTGGGTGGGGGCAGCAGGCATTCTGCAAGCCACACAAATGACAGGCCGTTGTGAACAGTGGAGAAAAGAGAAGGGTCTCGCAGTATAACTCGAGGCAAGAGGGCCCCTCCTCTTCTCTATTTTGGATAAATTGAACTTGGAGTTTCCCAACCATGAAGTACTTGGGAAGAAAATATCTAGAACTGAGTTACACCAAGTCACTGCCCCAGCCTTGAACCAAGAATCCGTAGAGCTGAAGCTCGAGCTTTGTGTTAATCATTTAACCAACTTTAAGCTGAGCCTCTCCTGCCCACCCCTCCTCCTCTGCAATTAGTAATATTCTAATCAGACACACTCCACCTATTTTCTGACTCAGTAACTAGAATAAGGGGCAGAAGTGGCTCCTTGTGGGCAGGGGAGTTAGTGCTAAGGGTAGCAGCTGAGCACCGAGACCCCAGGAGGAGAGAAGGGAAGGAGGTTGGTGCATTTGGACTAATACGTCCAAACACAGAGATATAAAAAGCATTTGTAGATTTATATTATAAAATACTATGGAAAGTATACTCATCAGATTATAGAGATCTAGGATGGCCCTGAGCATGAAGGACAGAGGACCAATGGAAGAGCTGGAGAGTGAGCAAGGCCCAGGTTGGGCAGGCTCTGGGGGCCTCCATGTGGAGTTTGGGCCTCAGGAGGAGGAAGATAATGAGGAGGTGCTGAAAGGTTTGGGTGATGGGGAGATGTGGCCAGATTTGCATTTGGAAAAAGTCCCTGTTGCCACAGGACAGAGAAGGAGTTGGAGAGAGTTGGAATGGAGGTGGGGAAGACCAGGTACCACCTCTTAGAGTAGTCCAGATGCGGAGAGTGGCTTGCACCAGGTGCCAGGGACGGGAAGGACGTTAATACACTCGAAATTGCAGGAGGCACAGCGGGCAGGACCTGCTGGCTGGGTGTGGGAGATGAGGGAGGTCAAGGTTGGCCTCCAGATATGGGCTGAGACGTGATGATGTTCACAGAAGGGAGGATGCTGGAGGAGAAGCAGTCAGAAGAGGCACGAGGAGAGATTAGGAACACTGGGTTTGGGGTTCCTGAGAGACCCCAGAAGAGGTGCTCACGGGAAGCTGAGCTGAAGCTCAGAAGAGAGGCCCCTCACTCCTGATTTCCTGTGTATGCAGCGCACCCCTAAGAGGGTCAGGAGGGGGGCTTGTGGGTGGCTTGTGAGAGCCCCTCCCTGCTAACAGAAAAGCTCCTCCAGCCACAGCCCGCTCAGGGGAGTGTTGAGCTTCCTCAAGGATCTGTGCACACAGAGGTCCCTTAGGAGCAGCAGGAGGAGGGCAGAGAGGTGACAAACCCTCCCTACTCCACCTCCAGTTACAGCCCTTTGATTAATTGCTTCCTGTCCCTTGCCAAGGTGGGTGCTCATTGGTTCTTTTCTCCCTCTCACATTGGGTGCCCCTTTGCGAAGGTCAGAAAGCCCCACCCAGAACCCTTTTAGCCTAAGAATGAAGACCAGAACTGATTGGCCCCCGACATCGCTGGAGAGACTCCAGATTGGGTTCTCTTCTCTCCACCCCTCAGCTCTGTTTCTGCTTTGATGACGCTATTCTCAGAAAGGCTTGTGTCTCATTGCTGAAAAGTGTCTTCTACATCACCTGGTGGTAAATGATTCAGATCCAGCAACAGACTTCTTCCAAGCTGTGGTTACCTAGGCCTTAAGAATCATTAGCATTAGTCTGGGTAGCCTGTGATCAGAGAACGTGGTGCACATTAGGGACCCGTGGTGAGGGTGCCCGGAGCCCCATCCCATGCACTCAGAGTGGGAGGGCGATTCCCTAGCTGAAAACCAGAGCCCCTCCCCCCTTGATCAGCTCCCCTGCTGCTGGCCCAGCTGAGCCCACTGCATTTTGGAGTTTAGCAGGAAAGTACTTCAGCTGAAGACCTCGGACCTCTTGTGGTGCATGTCGGACCCAGGCTGGATTCTGGCTCTCGTGGGGTGCCAGTTTGAACCGTGGACAGCAGGATCCACGATATTCGTCCACCACCTGGCCCAGTTGGACCCCAAGGTCATTGTACAGGTAAGAACACCAACATTCCAGTATCAGAAAACTCCAGAAGAAACCCATGTTTCCAGGCCATGTTTCTGCTCAGCAATACTAAGCAAGGTCCACGTGCGTCAGAGAACCCGAGCTCTGAGGTTCTCAGGGTGGAACACTGAACGAGAGTCACTAGATCAGACTCACATCAAAATGTAACCTGGAAGAGGACCCTGATTTCTGGGCCATCTCCCGACCTCCTGCAGAGGAGATGTTATGGGTGTGAGGTCCCAGAAGGTGCCTTTTGAGAAACTAAAGCAACCCCAGTCAGCCCACGTCTCCTGGGGCCAGGTAGCTGGTGTGTGTGTGTGTGTGTGTGTGTGTGTGTGTGTGTGTTGCTACTCCTTATAATAAAATGTTTAAAAAGGAGCCCTTGGAATGTGACAGATCTCACTTCTTATCCCGCCTCTGAAATTAATTGGAAGGCTATCTGCAGACCCCAGTTCATTATCTATAAGTTGGGGTGTTTAATAGTTATGGCTTGATGAAATCATTAGGAATATTGATGAGATGATCCTGGCAGAGCGTGTCATGGGTTTGGCCCTGAGGTTGGCACATAGAAAACAGCCGTCAACGATGCCATTTGAAGTCCCCTGCATGAGCTCTCTCTCTGTGTGGACTTCATCAGAAAATTCTCYTTGTGTCTCCCTGAACAACCTTCCTTCTGCCTCAGGGCCAGGCCTGTCCCTCCACTGTCCATGGTCCCCGGCCTCCACACAGGGCTGCACATCCTGATCCTCTCCCCGTGCTCCTGGGAGGGGCCTCTTAGTTCTGAGTCTCATTGTTCCTGAGCTCCCCTCCTTGGTCCACGCTCATGGTCAGGGCACCCTGCTGGAGCACCTTCCCTTGATCTTGGTGGCGCTCCGCCTTGGCTCGGGCCCTGTTCCTCACTGGCACCATCTTCAATAGAGAATGTCCTCTGCCTGCGGTGGCCTCCCCTGTCTCCCTCCTGAGCCCTCCCTTCCTCCCTCTCCTCCTGAGCAGCCTCCTTCACCTCCCTCTTCCCCAGGGTGGGGGAAGAGTATGGCGGGGGTCTAGTCCTCTCTCTCCAGGCTCATTCTCCATGTGTCCCTGATGGTGGGTCAGCTGGGACAGGTCGCCCTTCCAGCTCCTCTGCCTGCGCTTCTCAAACCTCACCCCCAGCCCCACTCGGTGTCAGCTTCTGCTTCCCGTCGTGATCGGCTGCAGTGCGTTGGGCACCCAAGCCTTAGAGCTGCACAAGCCTCCCTGGCCACAGGCCCGAGTCCTCCTCACCACTGGGATTTGAATGCATGGAACAGGAGCTTCCCACTTCTCTGCTACAGACCCCTGTCCACTTGTGACTGTCCCTCCTAAGTGCCACCTCCTCCATCAGGGTTTGACAGCCCAACCACAAGAACTATTTCACTCACTGTGTTCTTAGCATAACTCCTCCAAGTCCCTGTTCTGACATCTGCCAGCTTCTGCCTTGTCATTTGGTGTCTGTCTGATTTCCTCTGTGTCTGCTCTGTCATGTCTGATATCACCTCCCTAGTTCTGTGTCCCCCCGGACAGCATCTGACACATGCCCTAATGAAGTTCCTGCCCGATACACGTATATGGAAAGAATTAACAAGTGAGTGGGTTCTCTAGAGGGGAGGTCAGAACTGCCGTGTTCCTCATGGGGATGCTTTTAACCTTAACTATCAAAATAAAATCCCCTCTCTTCTCGCTTTCCAGGTGTTGTTCAAATACCCCATCACCCAATTCCTGGCTGCACCAAGTGTATTCCGAATGATTCTACAGGAGAAATTCACCAAGTATGTACAAGTGGTTGGTAACAAGGAGCTCTGAGTAGGATTTATTTTCTTAAGGAATCTGATGTGTCATGGCATGAGAGATTTTCCTTTGTTTCTGGAAGTACTGTGTATGTATGTGTGTGTGTGTGTGTGTGTGTTGTTGGCGAAGATGATTATCAATCAGACTTATTTAAATCAAAGCGTGACCCTGAGACCCAAGAGAAAAGCTCAATGTGCCTTGCTTGTATCTTTGTGGGGTTATTCAAGTGCCTTTATTACAAAGACAGACATACAGTGAGCACGCACAACATGGAAGTCTACAGATGAATCCAATGTTGAAAATACCTTCGTAGCGCTCACCTAAACAACAGAAATAGAATATTGCCAGCACCCCAGAGGCTTCCACGTGACTCCTCATCTTCCCTAAAGGCAACTACTGTCTCAATCCGATAGCGGTCCCTTCCCTATTTTCCTTTACAAGTTAAGCTACTAAGGCAATATTTCTGAGCGAGTGATTCCATTTTACATGCTTTTGAACTTGATATCTGTAATTCTACATCATTCTGTGAACCTTGCTTCTTTCTTTAGGATTGTTTTTAAGAGGCTCCCATGTTGTTGTCCGTTAATGTAGTTAATTTTCAGTGCCATATAATATCCCATTTTATGGAAATGCCACAATTTTCTTCTATCAGTTCTACCAGTAGAGGAGATGTGGGTAGTTTTCACATACGGGCTATTGACTCAGTGCTCAATGAACTCTGGCCCATGCATCCTGGTACATAGGAGCATGCATTTCTGAAGAGATTTTCTAGAAGAATGAGCAGATCATACTGATAATACACAAAGCCAAAAGATTAAACCAACTAATGCTCCAAAACAATTGTAGGAGTTTCCGTTGTTCCACATCCTCGCTAACATTTGTTATTGTCAAAGATAACTTTTGCCCCTCTGATGAACGTACACCATTGTCTTACACAGTTTTATTTTTGCATGTCCCTGTGTTTGAAAGTTAATTTTTCGCTAACCAGATATCTGCTCTTTGAACCTGAGGGGCATTATTCATGAAGCCTTGGTCTGGCTGGATTCTGATTCCATTGAATTTCCAAGCTCATACATATCGCAGTTAAATTTTGCAACATTCCTCAGATGATGGCCTTTGTCCAAAGCCAGTAAGATTTCTTCAGTGCAAAATGAGGGACTCCACCTGACATTCTGCTCACTTATGCAGGTGGGGCAAAGCCCAGAGGAGGGAGGGAGTCCCCTCAGTGGAACTCGCCCCTGCTCCCCCTCTGTCTGCACCAGGAGAGGGGATGAGGTGGAAGGTGGGGCAGAAGCCACTCCCTCTGTCCTCCCAGGGGCTGGCCAGGCACCGCCCATGCCAGCTGGGTCAGAAGCAATCCCTCCCCCCACTTTCTTGCAGGAATCCAACCCTGATTGGCCATTGTTCTTGGGAGCTTTAGGAGAACTTCAGGGGAGGGAGAGCCCCCACCACCCAGGAACCCAGTCAGTTAGGAGAAATGTTCCCATCAGACTTTGCTGTTCTCCCTGGATTCCCTCTCTCTGAGATTCTGTTTGCTCTGAGGTGTCCTCTGCTCCCTGCCAGCCTCTGTCTCTTCCCGCTCAGCCCCACCTTCCCCGAGGCCCTGGGGAAATCATCTCCAAACCCAGCTTCATTTCCCACCTAGAAACAGGAGCCTTCAGTCAGCAGCAGCCCTCACTGAGGGCAGCATGGTCCCCTACCACCCAGCGTGTCCCTCAGGTCCTGTCCACACCCTGAGCTGCACATCTGCTTCCCTAAGATGAGTTCTGATGAACCCACTTTGCTCCCTCCCCAAATCCAAATTGAACCCGAATTTCCTGCTGAGCCCAGAGCCTCAGGACCACCCGCCCATCAAGGCCAGGAGAGATCTCGGGGGCTGGCAGGAAGGGAGAGCCTCCACTTGGCCTTGACCTCACCACAATGACCCGAAGTTGTACAGGAAAGTCAGGGAGTGGGCGGTGGATGATGCAGGGGACACCACTGTCACCTGCTAAGGCACGGGCCTGGGGCCAGCTCCAGGCCTGACCCTGCTGCCCTCCCCCAGCCTCAGGTTCCCCACCCTGGAGCACTGCGGCACTGGCGGGGAGGCCCTGCTGCCCGAGGAGCTTGAGCAGTGGAGACGACACACGGGCCTCCTGCTCCACGAGCTCTATGGACAGTCGGAGACGGTGGGTGCCCGGGCCGCGCGGCCCCTGGACGGGCTGGTCCTACTGCGCGMTGTGCTCAGCCCCACTGTGTGGCCCTCACTGCTCAGAGCCAACAGGAGGCTCCAGGGCTCCTAGCTCCTTTGCCTCCAGTGGATTTACAGAAAGAGAACTCACACCTGAAAACCCACCAGGACACCAACACCTGAGGAGGGACGGGCACGGTCTCAAAAAGGGACCTAAGGACATTTTGCCACTGTGCCTGTGATGTTAGCTCAGGGAGCCCAGGGGTGGGTGGGCTAGGAGGACCTCTCCCTCAACAGGGAGACCAGCACCTGGAGGTCCTGCCAACTCCACCACGTGTCCCTTCCCAGGTGGCCCCTTGCAGAGGCATGGGCACTGGCTCCAGAGGGTCCTCTTGGGGTGGTTAGGGCCACACAGGTTTGACTGTGGAATGCCACCAGGGTGGATGAGGGGCCAGAGACTCTCCGTATAGACCAGACACAAACACACTCTGTGTGAGCCTAGAGTGTCACTGGGCCACCGGGTTGGAGGGCATTTAGGGTGGCATGCAAGCCTTGAACCTCCAAGACTCCATCAGCGGCAGTGTGGGAGGGTGCCCCTCTCCCCACACATTCTCAGTCCATGTCTGATGCTGGGTGAGCCCATCATTCCTCCAGCTCACAGAGGGATGACCGCACCTCAGGCCCTGGGACAAACTGGAAAACTAGTTCCTTTGTTGCAATTCAACATATTTATCTGACATTTTTTTTTTTTAAGAAAAAAAAAAAAAATCACCTGATTGGTTTTCTTCCAAACTTAAAAAAAAAAAAAAGAAACATTCCGACTCTGGGCTGTTGGGCAGCTCACAGCTTGTGCTTGGACGAGGAGGAGGGTGGGTGAGGACGACAGGCTCGACCACGGCCCCTGTCCCTTTGTGTCCACCATCTGCAACAATAGCTGGTGCCTCGTCCTCAAAGCCCTGTCCTCCATCCACACAGCGGTTCCCACCCACCTCCAGTGTGCGTGGCCTGCGCTGTGGGGACAGAGCTTCCTTCCTCTGCCAGGAGCTCAGACTCAGGCCCAGGTCTCAGCCCTGCCCTGGACAGGCTTCAAGACCATGCCCCTGTCCCTCGACCCTCTGAGCCTCAGCTTTCCCCCTGGAGAATACGAATCCTAATGGCCGGCTGGCGGGACTGTGATCAGGGAAAGGCCATGTGCCCAGTGCTGGCCACAGGGCCCCAGCACAGGCTCGCCCTGGAGTTGCTGGGGACACACAGGTGGACGGGGCACTCTGTGTTCTTAGGGGCTTGTTCTCTCCCAGGAGGCAGACAAGCAAGGGCAGTTAGAGGTGTGGGGCTAATGTGCAGAGTGATGTGTGCAGCAAGTCCTGCAGAAGGACAATGACCAGCGGGCTTTCCTGCATCCTGGCCCGTAGCTGATCTCCCCTGYACCTTTGGGTGGCCTCGCGCTGTGGTCACACTGCAAATGCTCAGCCCTGGAAAGAGGGATAACGAGGAGCAGCCAAGGGGTCAGTGGTCAGGGAGGGGAAGGGGCGGAGCAGCAGCGGGGCCAGCACAGTGGGCACGCTCAACACGGCCCTGAGAGGGAGCTGAGGCCGATWCCTTCACCATCCAGGAGCCTAGAGCGAGTGTGTGTGGACGCYTGGTCTCCCCTGGCAAGGACCCAGCCTGGCCCCGGTGTGTCTCAGGCCCCACAGCACATGCCCCAGGTGGGGCTCACCCTCTGCATCTCTCTTTGACCCCTCACTRGGCACTGGCCACCTCACACGTAGGACAGAGCCACCCCCTGCTGGGATCACTGTACTGTTGGGYCAGTGCCCTGAGCATGGAGTCCAGGACTTCAGCTCCCCCCAGGAGGGCTCCTGGTACAGCATGATTGACATCTGTGCAGGGCAGGGCGGGGGCTGGGGCCGTGTGGTGTGAATTCTGCTGCTTAGTGACCAGCCTGGCCTCTTTGGCCATCCTCAGTCCTCTCTCTCTCGTGAACAGGGAATGACTTGTGCTGTCTTCCGGGGAATGAACATCAAGCCGGGCTCCATGGGGAAGGCCGTCTCACCCTTCGACATCCAGGTCTGGTCCTCAGGACTTTGGCAGAAAGGCACAGTGAGGGCCCAGCTGGCACTGGACCCTCCTGTGACAGCAGGTGACAGATCCAGCCATGCTTCCCTGCCCGGTGTCCCTTCCCTCTCTCTCTCCCTGTTTCTCTTCCATTTCTTATGGAGGCTCCCTGGCAGCCAGATCCTCACACACAGTGAAGGGAGGACACCTCCCTGGAGCGTTGGAGGCTCTCCCCACCAAGTGGTGCCAAAGGCACATGGGTGATGGCTACACACTCATGAAACACACTGACCCTTGACACGGATTCCACCATTACTCACTTCACCGAATTTTGAAAGTCATATTCTGTTTTCAGACATGCTTCTCCCATCACTCTCCCCAATTTCTTCCTGGTGTCCCGGGTAGAAGCCAGGCCATGCTCAGGCAGGGGCAGATGGGCTGGGCGAGTCCTGAGCGGCAGGACTGACAGGCTTCTTACTCCAGATCATCGACGACAAGGGCAACATCCTGCCCCCCAATACTGAAGGAAACATGGGCATCAGGATGAAGCCCACCAGGCCACCTGGCCTCTTCATGTACTACGAGGTAATGGAACGCCGGGTACCCCTGCCCAGAGCCCTGCCTCCCGAGCTTCTTCAGGTCATCCTCTGTTTGCTCTCACTTGATGAAGCCGCTTTAAATTACCACCAAGGCTTACAGGGCATCGCCACATCTCCCTACCCTAACCCCTCTGAGGCTTAATGGGTAACGGCTGAGGTAGAAAGAAGACTTGCTTCAGAACCACCAGATGTGTGATGCCTCATGAGCCCCTTCAGCCCTGTTCAGTTTTGGGGTTTTTTTTTTTTTTCATTCTTTTTGGTTCTCAAACTTGATTTCTTTTCAGTGACTCTATTTCCAGTCCCCTGATTCTTTCTTTTGCCTTCTCTAGTATGCACTTCCCTTCTAGTGCATTCTTGACTTCAGTTATTAGACCTTTGAGCTCCAGAATTTCTCTTTTGGAAAGAGAAATCTTATCATTTCTTTCTCTTTAGATTTTTTTTGTTGTTGTTTCATGCATACGTCATTTTGCTGACTTCCTTTAACTCTGGTCTGTTTTTACCACTTGGCTCATTAAGCATATTTAAAATACTCAAGTTATCTGTCAAGTAAAGACCATGTTGGATGGGATGTCAGAGGCCGTTTCTGTCCATGAATTTTATTTGGGGGATGAGCCATGTTTCCCTGCTTCTTTGTATGCCTGTGACTTTGTTGTTGCACCTGTTGGTGGTGTTAAAAATTGGGTCTGTGCTTGCCTTAATGTGGTAACTCTATATAACCCTGAAAATCATATTCTCTTTCTTCCTACTGCTTTTTGCACCTGAATTCTGCTTAAACTAAGTCATCGCCTCGAGACAGCCCTCCAAGTATCAACCAGACAAATTAGGACATAGCAATTTCCACATAAGATGTGTTCTGCTCCCTACAGTCGTGGGAGGAGAGAGGAGGAAATGGGGAGCAAGCACAGCCAGAGCATGACTCTCGTGCTGGAGTAAAGGTGGGACCATTGTGAGTCCAAATGCCACAAACTTTTCTACCATTTTGAAGATGGCTTTTCCTGGACCAGAAATCGCTCAGTTGGTGTAAATCTTTGGCTACCTTCTAGAGCAACTACAAAGTCAGTTCAGAYAGCTTCTGGGTTTCACTTGTGTGGTTGATTTGATATTTGATATTTCTGTGGAGGAACGAGAGATCAGAGCTTCTAATCTGCCACTTCCCTACCACCTTTAAAAAGTAGCCGAGGTTTACCTGAAGAAGATAAATGTGGACTCTGCCCCTCTCCATGTGTAGGTGAGATATTTTCTCCCTGACCCTCAGGAGCTTTTCTTTTCTCCAAGGAAGGATTAGTGAGGTTCACCTTCAAGAAATCAGGTTCAGAAGGAGGAAAGAATTGCTTCTATGGATGTGTAAGGCTGTCTTCTAGGGGCTAGGCTCGGGCACTATCTGAGAAGAGGATACCAGAAAAACTCATTCCCATCAGGGAGGACCTGTCTTTCAGGGTGCATTAACCAAAGTATCAAAAGATACTTTCATACCCCAGTGGTGCATGAATAGGGGGAAATATTACCCACAATGCAATGTTTCCCAAGTTTCATTCATTTCTGTCCACATCTGACCACTGTCCATTCTATTCTTTGTTAACTATGTTTTTATCTACCTTATATGTTCTCAAACAAACGCACTGTTTCACTTAAAAAAWTTTTTTTAAACAATTGATCTAGTATCATAAGTGGAAAACAGTATCACTTGAAAATCCGAAGGCTGTTGTAACTATAATTAAATATTTTTAAAGAAACTGTCTAAAATTTTAGATAAATCCTGTTTCTGCTTAAAGCTCTGATCTCAAAGCTTACCTTCCTCTTGGTATTTGCAGAAATTCTAAAAACATGTGAACTGCAAACCAAGAATCTCCTTGATAAAAGCAGAACAATCAGAAGTGAATTCAAAAAGCGGGGTGCTCTCCTGGGTTTGCAAGTGTCTCTTAAAATCATCTGGTGTCCCACAAGAAGGGTGGCTTATGGATCAAGGACTAGGCTACGAAACAAGAACTAAATTCAAATATCATCTCTTTCTTTGATTTGTTGGTTGATTTTGAGCAAGTAACTGTGCTATTCTGAGCATCAGTTTCTTCTTCTATAAAATAAGCTACAAAAAAAAAAATCCAGCCTCACACAAAATCACATACAAAAATGTTTGTAGCAGTTTTACTCATTATAGCTCCCAAGTGGAAAAAAAAAAAAMCAGACATCCTTCAATGGGTGAATAGCTAAACAAAAACTGAGGTACATTTATAGCAAGGAAATCTATTCAGCAAAATAAAAAAAATCAAACTATCAATGAACACAGCAATGTGGATGAATCTCCAGAGAATTATACTAAGGGAAAGAAGCAGTCTTAAATGGCTACATACTATGAGTCCACTTATAGAACTGGGGGACATTCCGTCAAGTAAATTAATCCAAAGACAAGAAAGACAAATACCTTGTGTTCTAACTCTCGTGCAAAAGCTTAAAACCTTGATCTTATAGAAATAGAGAGTAGAATAATGTCACTAGAGGCTCAAAAGGGGATAAGGGATGGAGAAGAGAGGGAGTTTGGATAACGAATACCAAAACAATGAGACAGGATGAATGAGTCTAGTGTCCTACAACACAATAGGGTGACTATAGTTACAACAATTTATTATGTATTTTTTTTGAGAGAGTGAGAGAGGAGGGAGAGAGAGAGAGAGA